AGACCTCAATGTTAGACCCCATTATGCCCCTCATGTCCATGTATATCCCCTCATAATTTATAACAGTCAAAGTACACCACTCCATTTTTAATGTGCTTACTCTAAAACAAAACATAGGCTATATAACGAAAATTTAGTGACTTTATTTGACTTCCAAAACACAGATTACCCCTGAGAGTACCCTTTACCCCCAAGAGATAGCACTAAGTGCAGTTGCAACTTCTAATTCTACCCACCCCCCAATAAGTTGCAAAGTACTCAAATTGAGCTAATTTTTCCCTGCATAATACCAACTTTATTATTATTATTTTTTTAAATATATATATATTCAGATTAAGTTTCTTCGACTCCTACATTGTGTCCAGTCTCTTTTTTCACCAGTCTCTTTAATTAATGAAGGATTACCTCTTGAAATGATAATGTCCTCTCTTTTGGCTCCTCTTCTTCTTCTTCTCCAGTTGTTTACGCTGGGCCTTTCGACTGTCCCTGTGATGTCACCAGGGTCCAGTTGCCACTTAGGATGTCGTGTCTAATCTTTTCAGATTCAGACTCGTCCTCTTCCACCACGGAGATTCCCATGTTGCGTAGCATCGAGGCCGCATCCTTTAGGCTTGCGAACGTCTCAGTCCTGTTGGTCCCGTCCTCCGAGAAGATCCGTAATTGCGCTGGATACAGCATTTGTGCCTTCACATTTCTAACCTTCAACTGTTTGATGACGTCACGGACGCGTCTTCTTTTCTTCTGAACCTCTGTTGTATAGTCTTGGTTGAAATAAATGTTCAGTCCGCCAAACACAATCCGTTGTTTCCACGCTACTCGGATTACTTGTTCCTTTACTTGGTAGTTCAGAAAGCGTACGATGATAACTCTGGCTGTTGTGTTGCTCCCCGTTCCCAGGCTGCCAATGCGATGTGCTCTTTCAATGTCTATGCATACCTGTTGGCAGATCCAGTTTGGAGCGTATGAGCTCTTTCACGAATCCCACGACGTCGTTCTTCTCAGCCCGCTCTTCAACCCCGTGTATTCTGATATTCTTTCGCCTCCCTCTTGCCTCTAGTTCGTTGCATTTAGCCGCCACCTTAGCTTCACTTTGGAGGAGATACACGACGGCTTTTTCCAGCTGGGTCATGCGGTCTTCCGTATTCCCCACTCGCGTCTCCAACTCCCACGTTCGCTTTTCAAGTGTGGACATTTGTTTTGCAACATCTTGGATACTTTTTTCCACTCTAGCAAGTGCCTGTTTGTTATCCGCTGCTGCGTCTTTATGCTCCTGCCTGAGCCGGCGTATCTCCTCCAAGATACCAGAGCCCGCGGGTTCGTCCTCCTCGTGTGGCATGTTCCCCAGTGGCGGTGAGTTGTCCAAATCGTTACTTGCCGACTTTTTACTCTTTGCAACCCTTCTTCTTGTCTTAATAGACATCAGTCTTGGTTCTATCAAATTATAAACCTTATTTACGGAGTCTTTTTGTTGGTTTTTCGCAGAGTCTGTTTGTCTTTACTGCATGTTATAACCGGAAGTGGAAGTAGCAATATTGGTAAGAAAAGGTATAACACTTGTGGTGGAAAAAGAAATAAAAGATGATAAGGGAAGATATGTAATGGTTATAGGTCATATTGGGGACACTGACATCTCCATAATGAACATTTATGCACCTAATGAGGAAGATGAAACATTTTTTTAAATAATTGCAAATGTAAAAGAAGCAAAGGGAATGATGGTGTTGGGAGGTGATTTCAATACGGTACAAAATGGAAAAATGGACAGGTTACCAGCAGAGAGAGGAAATATAACAAAAAGGTCGAAAATGTTAAATAACGTAATAAAGGAACTTGGACTTATAGACCCTTGGAGAATGCAGTGTCCCAATGAAAAAGAATATACCTTTTATTCAAACGCACATAATAGCTACTCAAGAATAGATTTCTTTTGCATAGGTCGACAGGAATTACATAAAGTAAAAAGCTGTGAAATTGAAAAAATAACAATTAGTGATCATGCCCCGATTAAATTAGCAATTGAGTTAAATAAAGAGTCGTTTTTCAAGTACTGGAGATGTAATGTATCTGTTTTGACAGATGAGACGGTGGTTTAGGAAATAAAACAATGTATACAGCAATACATTGAGATTAATGATAATGGAGAAGTTAACCCTACAACGTTATGGGAATGTGGGAAAGCAGTATTAAGAGGGAAAATGATAGAGATAACATCTAGGATAAAAAAAAATCAAGAGCATCAGCAACAAGAGTTGGAGAAGAAAATTAGAAAATTGGAAAATGAGCATAAAAAAACGCTAAATCACAGTACTTTATTAGAACTTAAAGAAATTAGATCCAAATTAGATCAGTTATTGACTTTTAAAGTAGAAGCGGCGTTAAGATTTGTTAATCAAAATTATTATGAAAAGGGTAATCGAGCAAGTAAGTTACTAGCATATCAACTCAGAAATAAACAGTCGGACCAGGCAATAACGAAGATACGGCATCCTATTTCTAAGGAGATTAAGGTTAAGAGGTTGCAAGAATATTTGCAGAATATTATGAAGAGCTATATAATGACCAAGAAATACCATCCTTGGAAGAAAAGATGCAACAGTTTATGAACAAATTTAACCTACCAGCACTGACTCCAGAGCAAGCGCTGGAAATGACAGAACAAATTTCTCTCAAGGAAATATTTGATACAATTAAAAATGTGAAAAACAACAAAAGTCCAGGTACGGACGGATTTCCGGGAGAATTCTATAAATGTTTTCAGGAAGAAATAGCCCCACTACTAAAGAAAGTGTTTAACTATGCCTTGGAATCAGGGAACATTCCAACATCATGGTCAGAAGCTGTCATTTCTGTATTGCATAAGGAAGGTGTGAAAGCTACCGCCCTGTTAGCCTGCTATGTAATGATTTGAAGATTTTAACAAGTATAATGGCAAAAAGAATACAGAAATTCATAACAAGGTTGATTAAACCCGATCAGACAGGATTCATACCGGGACGACAGTATTAAGCGAACTTTAAATCTTATGTCTAGTGCAAGAAGGAACCCAAATACAAACATGTTATTAAGCTTAGATGCACAAAAAGCATTTGATTGTGTGAAATGGAAATATATATATCACACATTATCAGTGTTTGGGTTCCATTCAACATTCATTAATTGGGTTAAATTTGTTTATAAAGATACAAAATCCAGGATTAGAGTAAATGGATGCTGCTCCGACTTTTTCTTTCTGAAGAGAGGAGTAAAGCAGGGAGATTTTTTAAGCCCTTTATTATTTGCTTTAAGTATAGAACCGCTCGCTGAATATATTAGGCAAAGTCCAGATATAAAGGGCATCGTAGATGAAGGTAATGTGGAGTCAAAAATATCATTATTCGCAGATGATATCCTCATGTATATAAGTAACCCTGTTGAGACTGTACCCATCCTGAATAACATTTTAAGAGAGTTTGGGGAAATCTCCGGATACTTGAACAATGAATCTAAATCGGTTGCAATGATCATATCTGGAAAATGTCCAGAAGAACTAAAAAAAAGACTACATTCAAATGGACGGATGAGGGCTTTAGATACCTTGGCATTACTATTACACAAAAGTTATCAAATCTATTTACAGCTAACTATGAGAAATTATTCAAGGAGATTAAAGAAGATTTAATGAGATGGGAAATTTTGCCCTTGACAATAATGGGAAGAATAGAAGTAATACGGATGAATGTTCTGCCAAGGTTGCTGTTTTTGTTCCAATCCCTACCCATCCAGCTCCCAAAAACAATATTTAAAAGAATTGATCATATGATCTCAAAATTTATTTGGGGAAATAAAAAGCCACGAGTAAGATATACATTACTACAATGCTCCAAAGAAAAAGGAGGTTTGAATTTGCCTAATATTAAAAGATATTATTGGGCAGCACATTTAAGAATCATAAATATCTGGATAAATAATGAGGAAGAGACGGGATGGAGGGAAATGGAACAAAATTCATGCCCAAAAGTAGAATTACAAAGCTTACCCTTCATTAGAAAGCAAAATCTAAAACAGTTGAAAATAAAAAATGAATGGGTTAAAGGAACAATGGAAATATGGATGGGGATAAAAAAGAAAATGGAAATGTCTAGTTCAATCTGCAGGGCCACTAGAATAGGAAAAAAATTGTGATTTTATACCCTCAAATATGGAGATGGGATTTCAAAAGTGGGAATCCAAGGGACTTGTCCATATTGGGCAGCTGTTTGAAGGGGAAAATATGAAATCATTTCAGCAGCTTAAAGACGAATTTAATCTATCAACACATGAATTTTACAAATTTCTACAAATAAGAAACTACCTTATAAAACATAAAGAATGGGAGTATATATGTAAACAAGAAAATGGAATAGAGAAATTACTGATGACTAAGTTAGAGAATAAAAAGATAATTTCAAAGTTCTATAAAGCCCGGCAGGCTGAACAAGACAATAATGTGGACACCAAGTATAAATGGGAAACTGAAAGAAATATCATAATTTCAAATGAAAACTGGGAGGAATCATTCAAAGGAGGACATCAAATGTTTAGTAGTATGCTATGGAAAGAGTTTGATTGGAAAGTAAAAATGCGATATTTCCTGGTACCATTGCATATTTCAAAATACAGTAAAATGTCTGATAAGTGCTGGAGGGGTTGTGGCCAAGTAGGAGACTATACACACATATTTTGGGACTGCCCTAAACTCAAAGAATACTGGGAAAATGTAAAAAAACAGATAGAAAGAATCGTTTGTGTGCAACTCTGGACGATTCCCTCTGGTCTGCTCTCTGTTCTCCTTCGCTTGTTTCTCTCTCTGGTCCCTCACATATACAGAGAATGTAACTGCTTCTTGGTGGAGGTCTGTGCTCTACGGTGCACCTCATAACTCAGTATCTTTGTGAAATTGCACATTTTTCTTCGGGAGCTCAGACCTGGTTTGTCCCCGAAAAGAGACATAAACACTTTCAGATGTGGACGCTATGTCAAGAATGTGCCTCAGACTAAGAGCAGGACGAAGGGAACGTCTCAGGGTCGAAGGATTGGACCAAGTGAAAGACCATCGCTACAGTTTGTGATGCACATAGTCCGTAACAACCAGAGCGCCACATAGTTCCTCATCACAAACACACCTGACTGACAGAGATTGCGCTGGGTGAAGTTAAATTCATCTAGGTCTCTGTCTAGTCTCTATTTGGTCTCTCTCTGGTTTCTCTTCTCTTTGGTCTCTCTATGGTCTCTTCTCTCTCACTCTCTTTGGTCTCTCTCTCTGTTCTCTCTTTTTGGTCTCTCTGGTCACTCCTCTCTCTCTTGTCTCTCTTGTGTCTCTGTTCTCGCTCTCTAGTCTCTCTCTGGTCTCTCTCTTCTCTCTGGTCATGTTTGTGCCAGAATCTCCAGGTCTGTTTTTGATGATGGTAAAAAGAGAAAGAATGATAGTATTTTCTTTTCTTTTCAAACGACCTGTCTCTTGATTTTTCTTTTCACATGTTGCAGTAAAAGTTTCCAAAATCAAAGAGAAGCCAAAGAAAAGCTCTGGTGCTGTTCCAGACGCAGAGCAAGCGAAGAGCGAGTCTGAGGGTGAGTGACTTGGTCTCTCTCTTGATGATCTTGTTCTCTCTGGTCTCTCTCTCTGGTCCCTCCCTCTTGCCTCCCTCTGCTCTCTCTCTCTGGTCTCTCCCTCTGCTCTCTCTCTCTGGTCTCTCCCTCTGCTCTCTCTCTGCTCTCTCTCTGGTCTCTCTCTCTGGTCTCTCCCTCTGGTCTCTCTCTGGTCTCTCTCTGCTCTCCTTCTGCTCCCTCTGGTCTCTCCTTGGTCTCTCTCTACTCCCTCTCTGGTCTGCCTCTGGTCTCTCTCTTTGTGAGATGTTATATATAAATAAATTGATCGTGCAGCAGACACACATGAAAGGCGTGGCGTTTTTCTTCTTGTTAGAATCAACAGTTTTATAACATGTTTCTTGGCTCTGACTTTTTAGTTCAAAAGACTGTTTTTGATTATAGATGTATTAACAGAAAGAATTTGTGGAAGAAATGAGTGTCTGTATGAATGAAAGATAAATGAGAAACAATTAATGACTTTTGTCAAAACAGAAAGAGTCAAATCAGGCAGAAGTAAGAAAACCCTGCTTTCTCAGGTCTCTCTCTCTGGTCTCTCTCTGGTCTCTCTCTGGTCTCTCTCTCTGGTCTCTCTCTGGTCTCTCTCTGGTCTCTCTCTGGTCTCTCTCTCTGGTGTCTCTCCGGTCTATCTCTCTGGTCTCTCTCTGGTCTATCTCTCTGGTCTATCTCTCTGGTCTCTCTCTCTGGTCTCTCTTTGTAAATTGGCTGCAGACGCTTTTTTTGGCTCGTGATGAACGGCTTCAGTCGCCTGCAGCTTTTAATCATTTGTGAAATTGTCAACTTTCCAAACATCAGAGATCTGCCTCATGTCGAAATCAGGATGTGTCACTTTGTTTTGTGTTTAAGTTCAAATGAGGCAATTATTCATGGTTTTGTCTGTCTCTTTGGTCTCTCTCTGGTCTCCCTCTGGTCTCCCTCTGGTCTCCCTCTGGTCTCTAACCTGATCTCTAACGTGGTCTCTAACCTGGTCTCTCTCTGGTCTCTCAGCTTGTCCTCCCATGGGTCTGGAGTCTCTGAAGATCGACGACTTCCAGCTTCACGCCTCATCCTCACGGCGCTACGGACTAGGAGCGCACCGTGGCCGCCTCAACATCCAGGTAAATCAACCTTTGGGATCTATGACGTCACTCTGGTCTCTTTGTGGTCTCTCTCTCTGGTCTCTCTCCTTGGTCTCTCTTTCTGGTCTCTTTGTGGTCTCTCCCTGGTCTATTTGTGGTCTCTCCCTGGTCTCTGTGGTCTCTGATGGTGCCTGTGCTCAGGGGGGCCTGCTTGAGGATGACCTTCATGGTGGTGCCTGGTGCGCCGGCAGAGAGGACCAGGTGCAGTGGATAGAGCTGGACGCTCGCAGACTCACACGCTTCACTGGTGTCATCACACAGGGACGCAGCTCTCTGTGGACGTGAGTGTGACATCACAGAGACCAGAAAGAGACTGGGGAGACCGAGGGGAGATCAAAGAGACAATAGAGACCAGAGAGAGACCAGAAGGAGACCAGAGAGAGACCAGAGAGAGACCAGAGAGAGACCAGCGAGAGACCAGAGAGCCCAGAGAAGGACCAGAGTGAAACCAGAGAGACCCGAGAGAGAACAGAGCGAGGCCAGAGAGACCAAAGAGAGGCCAGAGAGAGATAAGGGAAAAAACAGAGAGAGAAACCAGTTTGGACCATTCACAGTCCAAACTGTACTAGCATTATCCATCTGTATATAGTCTGTGTTAGCATTGTTCATCTGTATACAGTCTGTGTTAGCATTGTCCATCTGTATACAGTCTGTGTTAGCATTGTCCATCTGTATACAGTCTGTGATGTCACACAGGAGCGACTGGGTGACCTCCTACAAAGTCATGGTCAGCAACGACAGCCACTCCTGGGTCACGCTGAGGAACCAAAGCGAAGATTTGGTGAGAAACTCTAACATCTGCTTCACAAAAACATGCACACACACTTAGACACTTTCATAGTATTGTGTTGGTTAGATTCCCGGAGCTTTGAGTGGGCTCTGAATGAAAATATATACAGTGGGGCAAAAAAGTATTTAGTCAGCCACCGAAGTTTTCCCACTTAAAATAATGACAGAGGTCTGTAATTTTCATCATAGGTACATTTCCTAGAGACAGAATGTGAAAAAAAAATCCAGGAATTCACATAGTAGGATTTTTAAATATTTTTTATGTAATGTAAATTATGGTGGAAAATAAGTATTTGGTCACTTCAAACAAGGAAGATCTCTGGCTCTCACAGACCTGTAACTTCTTCTTTAGAAGCTCTTCTGTCCTCCACTCCTTACCTGTATTAATGGCACCTGTTTGAACTCGTTATCTGTATAAAAGACACCTGTCCACAGCCTCAAACAGTCAGACTCCAAACTCCACTATGGCCAAGACCAAAGAGCTGTTGAAGGACACCAGGAAAAGAATTGTAGACCTGCACCAGACTGGGAAGAGTGAATCTATAATAGGCAAGCAGCTTGGTGTGAACAAATCAACTGTGGGAGCAATTATCAAAAAATGGAAGACATACAAGACCACTGATAATCTCCCTCGATCTGGGGCTCCACGCAAGATCTCATCTCAAATGTGATTATGAGAACGGTGATCAAAAATCCCAGAACCACACGGGGGGCCTGGTGAATGACCTGCAGAGAGCTGGGACCAAAGTAACAAAGGTTACCATCAGTAACACACTACGACGACAGGGAATCATATCCTGCAGTGCCAGACGTGTCCCCCTGCTGAAGCCAGTGCATGTCCAGGCCCGTCTGAAGTTTGCCAGAGAGCACATGGATGATACAGCAGAGGATTAGGAGAATGTCATGTGGTCAGATGAAACCAAAGTAGAACTGTTTGGTATAAACTCAACTCGTCGTGTTTGGAGAAAGAGTTGCATCCCAAGAACAGCATACCTACTGTAAAGCATGGGGGTGGAAACGTCATGCTTTGGGGCTGTTTTTCTGCTAAGGGGACAGGACGACTGATCCGTGTTAAGGAAAGAATGAATGGGGCCATGTATCGTGAGATTGTGAGCCAAAACTTCCTTCCATCAGTGAGAGCTTTGAAGATGAAACGTGGCTGGGTCTTCCAGCATGACAATGATCCCAAACACACCGCCCGGGCAACGAAGGAGTGGCTCCGTAAGAAGCATTTGAAAGTCCTGGAGTGGCCTAACCAGTAGTGATGTGCTGAGAGGGCCGAGTCTTCGAAGCGTGGACCGAGTAATCTGGGGGCGTTTCTTTTGAAGTGTGGGTCGAGGCGTGTATTGGTCACGTGTGTGATGACGTTCGAAGCCTCGCGAACGGCCGTACCACGTGACTGATTCAGGAAATGATTCGTTCGTTTGGAGCGCGATTCAAAATAAAAGGGACGAGTGAACGCAATGGATTCCCCTTCATCACTTTGTGTGTTTTTGGGTTATTGCGCTTCTCATTTGGCATCCTATTTAGCATCCTATTTGAGCTTCTTTTTTGCGATGGAACCGGCAAGAAAGAGAAGATTTTCTCCAGTTTGGGAGCACTTTGAGCAGATCTCACCTAATAAGGTAATAAGGATACCTGGGGGAGCCAAATATTCCTCGACTCGAAAGTCCCCTTCAATATTGGGACAAACATAAGTTTACATTTCCAAATTTATATAAACTTGCCATTACATATTTATGTTCACCTGCATCCTCTGTGCCCTGTGAACGGGTTTTTTCAAAGGCAGGTGAAATACTGTGCAAAAAAAAGAAATCGCCTGAGTCCAAATACTGAATAACTGTATTGTTTGTTTTTCAACTCCTGTCAATAGTTGCATAAGCACTTACATAAACAAAGTAACACAAGCACATTTTACATAACAACTGTCTCCACATCATTGGCTGTATTCTTTCAGCCCATGTTCAGACCCTACCATTTGTTATAGGCCCTTGGCATGTATTACATTTCTTTGTCCACATGATGGCGTAGTGGAGCATGATTCACCTCGAGCCTTCGACTCATGGGCCGAGTAATAGGCTGCGATCCCTCAAGGCTTCATGGGGCTTCATATTGCCATCACTACTAACCAGTCTCCAGACCTCAACCCCATTGAAAATCTGTGGAGGGAGTTGAAAGTCCAGGTTCACTGCTCTTGAGAAGATCTGCATGGAGGAATGGGCCAAAATACCAGCTACTGTGTGTGCAAACCTAGTTAAGATCTATAGTAATCGTTTGACCTCTGTTATTGCCAACAAAGGTTATATTACAAAGTATTGAGTTGAATTTTTGTTATTGACCAAATACTTATTTTCCACCATAATTTACAAATACATTCTTTAAAAATCCTACAATGTGAATTCCTGGATTTTCTTTTCACATTCTGTCTCTCACAGTTGAAGTGTACCTATGATGAAAATTATTTTCAGTGGGAGAACTTGCACAATTGGTGGCTGACTAAATACTTTTTTGCCCCACTGTATCTATAAATCTCACGTCTGACTCAGAACCGACTCAAAACAAGGAATCATGGAGTAAAACTAAATGTTGTTGTCCAGAAATGTAAAGGAAATAATCCCAAGAATACTATTAAATATGACAATATCAGTCTTCAGCCTGTTGTGGTCTGGAATGGTCTGTAGCGGTCTGCTGTGGTCTGTAATGGTCTGTTTTGGTCTGTTTTGGTCCGTAGTGGTCTGTAGTGGTCTGCTGTGGTCTGTTGTGGTCTGTAGCGGTCTGTTTTGGTCCGTAGTGGTCTGTTGTGGTCTGTAGCAGTCTCTAGCGGTCTGCTGTGGTCTGTTGTGGTCTGCTGTGGTCTGTAGCGGTCTGTAATGGTCTTTGGGGTCTGGAGAGAGAGCAGCAGATGTGAAACTCGTGATAAATCCCTGAACATCATGAACATTCCAGCTGCAGCTGTTTGTGCGATCGGCGATAAACACCAGACTGATGAGGACGAGGACCACATCCCAGTTTTTATAACAATACTCATATTATTCACCGACATCGTACCAGGAAAGTCCAAGTGAGACTTCAGCCCTGGCCCCAGAGAGAGGGGGAGGGTCTTACAGGGGACTATTGTACACGTTTTAGTGGCAGGATAAGCCGGAGCACCTGGAGGAAAAAGACAACGGGAGAGCCTCCTCAGCATGTACCACGTTCAGCGTCCACTGGTCCACGTTCTGTCGCTAGCTTAGGTCCTAGATCATTAGCCTGTCCGTCCGGAGGAGCGGATCCCTTTCTCATATGGGTCTCCCTCCCTGTGGGTTTCCCTAGTTCTCCTCCAAGGTTTCTCACTTTTTCCCACTGGGTTTTTTAAGAGTTTTTCCTTGTCGATGCAGGAGGGTCTTGTTGGACAGTTAGTGTCCAACAGAAAGGATTGGTGATGATCAGGACACTTTAGCATTCTACAACATGTATGGACATTTTCTTCTGTGTGTGCTTTATACTGTATTCTTCATGTGTTTTAACTGTTGATTCTCTGACCTGTGTTGGTGATTTCAATGGTTTTGTTAAGTTCTCTGAGATGACTTCTGTTGTGACCTAGGGCTATACAAGAATAAATTGTATTGTATTGTATTGTATGTACCTCCTTATGCCTTTGTCTGGTCTCGGTAGTCTCTCTCTGGTCTCAGTCTCTCTCTGGTCTCGGTAGTCTCTCTCTGGTCTCAGTCTCTCTCTGGTCTCGGTAGTCTCTCTCTGGTCTCGGTAGTCTCTCTCTGGTCTCGGTTGTCTCTCTGTGGTCTTGGTAGTCTCTCTCTCGTCTCGGTAGTCTCTCTCTGGTCTTGGTAGTCTCTCTCTGGTCTTGGTAGTCTCTCTCTGGTCTCGGTAGTCTCTCTCTAGTCTCAGTAGTCTCTCTCTGGTCCCAGTAGTCTCCTCAGCACGTACCTCCTCATGTCTCCCTCTGGTCCCAGTAGGTGTTCAAAGGGAACTGGGAGAAGGAGGTCCCGGTGCGGCGGCTCTTCCCGGTCCCGAGGGTGGCTCGTTACCTCAGGATCAACCCCCAAAGCTGGTTCCACAAGGGGGGAGTGTGTCTGCGGGCGGAGGTCCTGGGCTGTCCCCTGCCAGGTCAGTGTGACATCACCACAGTGTGAGTGTGACATCACCAGTGTCTTAGGCCTAATGTGGAAGAAGCCGAGACCAGAGAGAGACCAAAGAGACCAGAGACCAGAGTGAGACCACAATGAGACCAGAGAGAGACCACAAAGAGACCAGGGAGAGAGAGACCAGAGATAGACCGCAGATAGACCAGAGAGAGACCAGAGAGCAAGACCAAAGAGATAGACCAGAGAGAAACCACAGAGAGACCAGAGAGATAGACCAGAGAGAGACCAGGGAGATAGACCGCAGATAGACCAGAGAGAGATCAGAGAGCGAGACCAAAGAGATAGACCAGAGAGATAGACCAGAGAGAGACCACAGAGAGACCAGAGAGATAGACCAGAGAGATAGACCAGAGAGATAGACCAGAGAGATGGACCAGAGAGAGACCACAAAGAGACCAGAGAGAGAGACCAGAGAGATAGACCAGAGAGATAGACCAGAGAGATGGACCAGAGAGAGACCAGAGAGAGACCAGGGAGAGAGACCAGAGAGATAGACCAGAGATAGACCAGAGAGAGACCAGGGAGAGAGACCACAGAGAGACCAGAAAGACGTCACAAAGAGACCAGACAGAGATCAGAGCGAGATCAGAAGGAGACCAGTACAGGATCACCCTAGCCTGTTAGCCTTAATGCAGAACAGGCCTTTTTGAACATAAACCGGAGCCAATTTCTTTAAATTGGAATTTCTTCCGATGACGTTAACTTAGTGCTTTAACAGGACAGACGTGTTGCTAAGACGGTTGCTAAAGGGAGCTGGAGTTTCCTCCGCAAACGAAGGCATCTGATTGGTTAATCCTTATATTTTCATTTATGGATTAACATTAAGACAATATCACAATAACAACCGGAATGTCATTGTTTTTACAAATATTAGATGAAGAAATATAGTTGCATTTATGTGAGACTCTGCTGTGTCTAGTTTAAACATTACGTTAAAGTGTGTCTCTGTGTCTTTGTCCAGATCCACACAACTACTACCATCGACGCAACGAGGTCATCACCACCGACGAGCTGGACTTTAGACACCACAACTACAAAGAGATGAGGCAGGTACGCAAACCAGGTCTGAACCAGGACTGAACCAGGACTGAACCAGGACTGAACCAGGACTGAACCAGGTCTGAACCAGGTCTGAACCAGGACAGAAACAGGTCCTAACCAGGTCTGAACCAAGTCTAAACCAGGACTGAACCAGGTCTGAACCAGGACAGAAACAGGTCTGAACCAGGTCTGAACCAGGTCTGAACCAGGACTGAACCAAGTCTGAACCAGGACTGAACCAGGTCTGAACCAGGACTGAACCAGGACTGAACCAAGTCTGAACCAGGACTGAACCAGGTCTGTTTCTCTGCTCTCCCTCTGGTCTCTCACTGCTTTCTCTGGTCCCTCTCTGGTCTCTGTTTGTCTAGTATCTCTTGCTGGTCTCGCTCTGGTCTCCCTCCTTGGGTCTCTCTGGTCTCTCTCTGGTCTCTCTCCATGAGCTCTGTGTGTTTGCAGTTGATGAAAACAGTGAATGAGATGTGCCCAAACATCACTCGCATTTACAACATCGGGAAAAGCTACAACGGCCTGAAACTGTACGCGTTCGAGATCTCGGACCGACCAGGAGAGCACGAAGTCGGTGAGACTAGAATCCAATTTAACTGTATAGAACGAGAGGCATGCAATGATGGAGGTGTGATAAACCAGGCTGTTTGTCGTCACTGGATGGAACCTACTGCTTTTAGTGCATGTAACCACGGGAACAAGACAAGTGCAGCAGATGCATCTAAGAGCTCAGGGAAAGGCCAGGCTGATATTAGAAATGTGTGTTTGGACGCATGTAGGACTCATTTGGATCATTGTTTTATTTTGGTTTCTAGTCTCTCTCTTAGGTCTCTCTCTCTGGTTTCTCACTGGTCTCTCTCACAGGTCTCTCTCTGGTCTCTCTCAGGTCTCTCTCTGGTCTCTCTCAGGTCTCTCTCTGGTCTCTCTCAGGTCTCTCTCTGGTCTCTCTCTCTGGTCTTTCTCTGGTCTCTCTTAGGTCTCTCTCTGGTCTATCTCTGTTCTCTCTTTGGTCTCCCTCTGGTCAGTAATCCCCACCTTGTCCTCTAGGGGAGCCGGAGTTTCGGTACACGGCTGGTTCCCATGGTAACGAGGCGCTGGGCCGTGAGCTCCTCCTGCTGCTGATGAACTTCCTGTGTGTGGAGTATCTGAGCGGAAACCCACGAGTGCGCCACCTGGTGGAGGAGACCAGGATTCACCTGGTGCCCTCAGTCAACCCAGACGGATACGAGAAGGCAGAGCAACTGGTGTGTGCTGCTGGTAACATTACACCTTTATACCAGAGTTCTGCTGGTACCATTACACCTTTATACCAGTGTGCTGCTGGTACCATTACACCTTTATACCAGTGTGCTGCAGGTACCATTACACCTTTATACCAGTGTGCTGCTTATGGATGCGCCGATACCGATACTGGTATTGGGTTGATACCATAGGCTTTCACTCGTACTCGTTCTCATAACATAAAACCCAATGTAGGAGCACAGGGAAAAGCCAGGCTGATATTAGAAATGTGTGTTTGGACGCATGTAGGACTCTCCCTCATTTTAATCATTGTTTTGTTTTGGTTTCTAGTCTCTCTCTGTTCTCTCTCTCTGGTCTTTTTCTAGTCTCTCTCAGGTCTCTCTCTCTGGTCCCTCACATCTCTCTCTCTGATCTCTTTCTGGTTTCTCTCTGGTCTCTCTCGTGTCTCTCTCTGGTCCCTATCTGGTTTCTTTCTGGTCTCTCTCTGGTCATTCTCAGGTTTCTCTTCCAGGTCTCTCTCTGCTCTCTCTCTGGTCGATACCCACATACTCAATTCAGCTGATACCCACATTTTTAATTTACATTAGCGTCACAACAGCAGACAGCTGTGCAGCACGTGTTGCCATGGGGATCTCCCAAAGTCTGCATCGAGAAAGTGACGGCAAGCGGATGTCGGCCGTTTAGCAGTTTAAACGAGTGAGTAAAGTGGACTGTACGTTGTATAAGGCAAAACTGTCACAAGGTGGATCCAAAACAACACGTATGACACCAGCAACTTGATCAAATATCTGAAAACTCACCACCATGCGGAGTACAGCACCTGCAAGGTGCACCGAGCACAAAAACAACCAACTCTACAGCATAGCATTTGTATGAGTGGAATATGACAGTGGCAGCATATTCTTACTGTTGAAATGAGAAATTATATATTTTAAATTTCAGTTGTATTAGTTTTATACATTCCCACGGATAAGGTCTCAAAAATCACTGTTGGCGGCAGAGCATTTAGCTCCAAGCTCCTTTACTGTGGAATCAGCTTCCCATTTATGTTAAGGAAGCAGATACGGTCTCCACATTCAAGGCCAGGCTTAAAGCACTTTACTTTAATTTAGCATATAATTAGGTAATATATAATATATGGTGTATATATTGTATATATATGCTGTATTATGTTATATATTATGTTATATATTAGACAATATATGTGTTATGTTATGTATTGTGTTATGTTGTATATTATGTTATATATTATGCTGTATGTTATGTTGTGTATTGTATATAATATATATAATATGTATGGTACATGTGATATGTATGATATATAATATATAATTAGGTTTGCCTGGATCGGTTTGCACACCTGGTGTGCGATCCATGAATCCTTTCAGATACGCTCTCTTTATTCAAGGCTAGGTTTAAAACAGTCCTCTTTAGTTTAGCATATGGCTAGGAAGGTAAGACTCAGGGAAGGCTAAACTCCTCAGAGTGTCAGTTAAGCTGCATAGGGAGTCAGTTTGCTGTGAGAAGTATGCTAACTTGAGCACTATCCTCTCCTCCTTCCTACTTTATCTGTTTAGCATTTTTAGGATTTTGACTGTAGTTTGTTCATTGCTATTCACCCGTTGTCCCATTGTCTGTTTCATGGTACGATGACGGGATCTCTGAGCCTGGCCTCCTCCATCTGCACCTGCGGACTGCCCCGCCCGACCCGCCTGGGAGTGCTTCGGTCCTGCACCGGACCTGTCCACGTTCAGCGGCCACTGGTCCACGTTCTGTAGCTTAGGTCCTAGATCATTAGCCTGTCCGTCCGGAGGAGCGGATCCCTTTCTCATATGGGTCTCCCTCCCTGTGGGTTTCCCTAGTGCTCCCCAAGGTTTCTCACTTTTTCCCACTGGGTTTTTAAGAGTTTTTCCTTGTCGATGCAGGAGGGTCTTGTTGGACAGTTAGTGTCCAACAGAAAGGATTGGTGATGATCAGGACACTTTAGCATTCTACAACATGTATGGACATTTTCTTCTGTGTGTGCTTTCTATTTTTCATGTGTTTTAACTGTTGATTCTCAGTCCTCTGAGATGACTTCTGTTGTGACCTAGGGCTATACAAGAATAAATTGTATTGTATTGTATTGTATTGTATAACACAATGCAGTACTCATATTGGTATTCGGTATCAGCAATTTGCTAGCAGCTGCTGATTGGTCAGAACACTGCCGATCATTTGCATTTGGTGCAAAACATAATGGGAGATCGTCCAGCCCCGGCGATCCAAAATGGCGCCCTATTCAAATGAATGGCTAGTGCTCAGTGGCGCATGTGCCGCCATGGCGACCGAAAGATGAGCGGAACTCACCCATATTTGGGCATTGTCTTGTCCTCCCGGTTTTACACAGTGGACGACCAGGGACACTAAAATCCTCACAAAATCTGATCTTTATGAAAGCCGTAGGTTCTCTGTCAGCTGTTTTAGTTTACAGTGAGTTCTAGGGGGAAAGTTTCTGGGTAGCTTCTGGGTTAGTCTGTGCTCGAGAATCCCCCGAGCACATGGGTCCTTCAGCTCCAAGCTATTAATACCCCATCCAGATATTATAATAGATCCATGGAGATCGGCCACTGCGCAGAACTGAAAGGACCAGAGGATGCCCAAATCACCGGAAGATTGGCGGGTTCCGCTAATCTTTCGGTGCCCAACGCATGGCGCCTCTGAGCAAAAACCATTGATTTGAATAGGCCGCCATCTTGGATCACCGAGGCTGGGTCAGTCCTCTCCTAACATACAGTCTGTGTAATTAGGAGAGATGCCCCCTAGACGAGGTAATGTGTGACCCGTGGCGGTGTTTTGACGCGTGATGGACAGTTCATCTGAAGGTTAACTAATTACAAAAACAAGTCAGAACCAAACTACTAAATTTCAAATGTCATCACCTGCTTCTCCTGCTTCAGGACTATGGGGACTCTCTTAAAGTTCTCATAATCTCATAGTCTCATGACTCTCAACTTAAAGCTGGGCTACGTAACTTTCAATCCACAAGAATTAGAACAATGTAATTCATGTGGCTCTGGCTCTAATACACTTCCAGTGTTTCTGGAATAGCTTTTTCAGACAGGGAAGGGAAAAAGAGAGGACCAGAACAGGACCAGAACGAGACCAGAGGGAGAGACCAGGGAGAGCAGTGAGACAGAGGAACCTGGGAGAGGGTTGCTCTCTCTGGTTCCTCTGTCTCACTCTGCTCCCTTACTCTGGTCTCTCTGGTCTCTCTCTGGACTCTCTGGTCTCACTCTCTCCTCTCTGGTCTCTGTCCCCAGGGCTCGGAGCTGAGTGGCTGGTCTCTGGGTCGCTGGACTCAGGAGGGCATAGACGTCCACCAAAACTTCCCAGATCTGAACAGTGCTCTGTGGGAGGCAGAGGCCCAGAGGCTGGTCCCCCGCAGGGTCCCCAACCACCACCTGCCCATGCCCCTGTGGTACCAGGCGCGCAACGCCTCGGTCAGTGGCGCCACCCGCAGGTTCTGCGGTATCGATCTAGTAGAAAAGTATTGAGATATTTTCATTTCATAATGATCATTTCTCTCTGTTTTCTCTGAGTTTAATCTGGTTCTTTATCTAAGGTTTATGTTCCTACTGTTTGTCTGCTTATGTCTGTGTGTATGTGTGTGTCTCTCTCTCTGTGTTGTGTGTGTGTGTGTGCGTGTGTATGTGTATGTGTGTGTGTGTGTATGTCTGTGTCCTCCAGGTGGCAGTAGAGACCCGTGCTCTGATCTCGTGGATGGAGAAGTTCCCGTTTGTTCTTGGGGGAAACCTCCAGGGGGGAGAGCTGGTCGTCACGTACCCCTACGACAAGACTCGATCTGTGGATTCACTCCGCAAGGCCAGCCCCTGTCCAGATGACCACGTGTTCAGGTACTGCTGCTGCTGCTGCTACTGCTGCTGCTACTGCTGCTGCTGCTGCTGCTGCTGCTGCTGCTGCTGCTGCTGCTACTGCTGCTGCTGCTGCTGCTACTGCTACTGCTACTGCTACTTCTACTGCTGCTACTGCTGCTACTTCTACTGCTGCTGCTGCTGCTACTGGAACAACATCATACAACGACTAAATTAACACAACACTAACTGTTAAAATTTGAGTTCTCTCTGGTCTCTCTCACTCAGATGGTTTCTCTCTCTCTCTCAGATGGTTTCTCTCTCTCTCAGTTGGTTTCTCTCTCTCTCTCAGATGGTTTCTCTCTCTCTCTCAGATGGTTTCTCTCTCTCTCAGTTGGTTTCTCTCTCTCTCAGATGGTTTCTCTCTCTCAGATGGTTTCTCTCTCTCAGATGGTTTCTCTCTCTCTCTCAGATGGTTTCTCTCTCTCTCTCAGATGGTTTCTCTCTCTCTCAATTGGTTTCTCTCTCTCTCAGATGGTTTCTCTCTCTCAGATGGTTTCTCTCTCTCAGATGGTTTCTCTCTCTCAGATGGTTTCTCTCTCTCTCAGTTGGTTTCTCTCTCTCAGATGGTTTCTCTCTCTCAGATGGTTTCTCTCTCTCAGATGGTTTCTCTCTCACTCAGATGGTTTCTCTCTCTCTCTCAGATGGTTTCTCTCTCTCTCAGATGGTTTCTCTCTCTCTCAGTTGGTTTCTCTCTCTCTCTCAGATGGTTTCTCTCTCTCTCAGTTGGTTTCTCTCTCTCTCAGATGGTTTCTCTCTCTCAGATGGTTTCTCTCTCTCAGATGGTTTCTCTCTCTCTCAGATGGTTTCTCTCTCTCAGATGGTTTCTCTCTCTCTCAGATGGTTTCTCTCTCTCTCTCAGATGGTTTCTCTCTCTCTCAGATGGTTTCTCTCTCTCAGATAGTTTCTCTCTCACTCAGATGGTTTCTCTCTCTCTCTCTCAGATGGTTTCTCTCTCTCTCAGTTGGTTTCTCTCTCTCAGATGGTTTCTCTCTCTCTCTCAGATGGTTTCTCTCTCTCTCAGATGGCTTCTCTCTCTCTCTCTCAGATGGTTTCGCTCTCTCTCTGATGGTTTCTCTCTCTCTATCTCTCTCTCAGATGCTTTCTCTCTCTATCTCTCTCTCAGATGGTTTCTCTCTCTCTCAGATGGTTTCTCTCTCTCTATCTCTCTCAGATGGTTTCTCTCTCTCTCTCTCAGATGGTTTCTCTCTCTCTATCTCTTTCTCAGATGGTTTCTCTCTCTCTCTCAGATGGTTAGCCTTCTCCTACGCCTCAACTCACCGCCTGATGACTGCGGCGCAGAGACGAGTCTGTCACAGTGAGGACTTTGCCAAAGAGGACGGCGCCATCAATGGAGCGGCGTGGCTCTCTACATCTGGGAGTGAGTGTGTGTGCAACACACACACACAGATGTCACTTTTATCTGTGTCTGAATTTGTTTGTATTTCAACTTTTAAAACAATTCACGGACTTTATGTCCGCCTTCATGGTTTGCTTCAGCTGCTGTGAGTTGCGCATGTGCAGGTTTGCTTTACATCTTTAACAGCTGAGGCAGTGCAAACCCACGTTAGACCCTGTGACTACTTTGCTGCTCTCTGTTTAGTTGCTGTGTGTGTGTGTGTCTGTGTGTGTGTCTGTGTTAAAGGTATGAATGACTTCAGTTACCTGCACACTAACTGTCTGGAGCTGTCGATGTTCGTCGGCTGCGATAAGTTTCCTCATGAGAGTGAACTCCCAGAGGAGTGGGAGAACAACAGGGAGGCTCTGCTGGTCTTCATGGAGCAGGTACACACACACACACACACGCACACACCCACACACGCACGCACACTAGAGAGTAGCAGCAGTACTGCAGCTTCAAGCTGGCTTGAGTCGTACATTCAGAGCTCTGACTGCAGACGGTGCTCCCTCAGGTTCACAGAGGAATCAAAGGTGTGGTCAGAGATCTTCAGGGACGTCCCATCGCCAACGCCACCATCTCTGTGGAGGGCATCAACCACGACGTCAAGTCTGGTACTTACCATCATCAACCATATCAAACATGATCAAGATATTCAAGATTTTAAACACACACAATGTGTGTCTCTGGTCTTTTTCTGGTCTCTCTCTGGCCTCTCTATTGTCTTTATATGGTCTCTCTCCAGCCACAGACGGAGACTTCTGGCGCCTCCTGAACCCGGGTCAGTACCGGGTCTGGGTGCGGGCCGCAGGGTTTGGGTCCAGTTCCAAAAGGTGTGAGGTGGGATACGATCCCAGACCCACGCCTTGTGACTTCACCCTCAGCAGAACTAACCTGACCCGCCTCCGGGAGATCATGGACCGGTTCAACAGGCAGAACCTCCGGCTCAAGACCAGACCCGGACCAGACCTGGACCGGAGCATAGGCTGAGGACCAGACCCGGGTCAGACCTTACTGGACCATAGGCTGAAGACCAGACCAGGACCAGACTAGGAAGCCCTGAGAGAGACCAGGGAGAGGAGAGAGAGACCAGAGAGAGACCAAAGAGAGAGACCAAAGAGAGAGACCAAAGAGAGAGACCAGAGAGAGACCAGAGAGAGACCAGAGAGAGACCAGAGACAGACCAGAGAGATACTAAAGGGAGACCAGAGAGAGAGACCAGAAAGAGACCAGAGAGACCTGGGAAAGACCAGGGAAAGACTAGGGAAAGACCAGGGAAAGACCAGCGAGAGCCACAATAAAGTGTAGCTAGTGGAGTTTTCTGGGAATAAGGCGTCTAACTTTTAAAGATGAATATATTTCATAGTAAAGTGGGAAAAGCCACTGTTTGTGTTTTGTACATAATGTATTATTGCATTCTCTGCACTTTGACTCAAATAACAGAATTTTACCATTAAGACGGTTTTATTAAAACATATAACGCTTTAGATTGAGGTTTGTGTCATTCATTTAAAAAAGATTCCACACTTTCATTAAAGAAACACAACAAAGTTTTACTGCCGTCTTGTGTTGAGATCATATATTGCAGTCCAGGGTACTACAGAAGCCTTCGAAAGACAATATGTGTCTTTGACAGTGCTTCTCAACTCGCTGTCATTCACCAGACTGCTAAGGAAGGAATACTGTAGTTTGATAAATGACCGGATCTCTGCAAACGTCTCGGGCACTTGACAGTCGCGTGGAGGCGACATGTAAACAAGACCGCGTTCAGAAGCGGCAGACCGCTACACAGAGGCTGCACTGAGTTTTACTCATGGATCTATTGTAATATCTATGTGGCAAGCTGGACTTGGCCACAATATTTGTGTCCACTAGAGGGCGCATACACGTATAAATAGCCTAGACCTACGTCTTTGTTTACCTCTGCACTTCTGTCTCCTGTGTTGCGTTGCGCCTGCCTCTTCCTGCTCCAGGTAGTAGTTCTACTGTGCACGTTATGATCCAGAATGTACAGCTAACATTAATGTTGCTTCAGTGCCGCGGTCCGACACATATCAAAGGTAAGACCGGACAAAAGAGGAGGACGAAGCCCAAGAAGCCGCACGGCACACGTCCTCGACCGAAGCCCCCCTGAGGAGTGCGACCTGAAACCCACCGGGGGGCCAGGCCCTGAGCCTGATACGCCCGCCGCACAGCCGTGGCGACCCAGTGCGCCAGCCGTTGAGACGACAGCGGGGCGCCCCTGTTCTTGGGGCCCAGACACACAAACAGCTGATCAACCAACCTGAGGAAGATGTCATGGCCAGGTAACGCCTAAGCCTTCTGACAGGACACAGAAGGTGCCGCCACTCCTCCTCTGGGGAGGCATGCGGCGGCGGATGGAAAGCCCTAATCCTGATCACTCTCGACCTGAAGGCCGAAGTGATGACCTCAGGGAGAAAAGCCAGATTGGGCCACAACTCCACCAGTCCGTCACCCTCTCCAAAGGACAGGCAAGACGCATGGACGGAGAGCGCACAAAAGTCGCCCGCCCTCTCAGCAGACGCCAACGCCAGCAAGAGGGCAGTCTTAAAAACCACACACTCGGGACTTGCCTCCGACACCGGTTCAAAAGGCGGGCCCGAAAGACCCCTAAGGACCACCCTGAGGTCCCAAAACGGGGGCGTTCTCTGAAGCGGGGGCGGACGGAAAACGGATGAGAACGGGCCGTGAACCCCCCGAAACCGCCGTGACCCCGGCTCGTCCGGGAGGGCCCAGGGCTCCATCACCGCCATGCCCCTCAGGAAGGGAACCACCGGGCATGTGGACTGTCCGGAGCCACCAGGACCACCGACCTTCCCTCTTGTTCGATCTTCCGCAGCAGGACCGGCAGGAGACGAACTGGTGGAAACGCATACAGCAGGCCCACTGGCCAGCGCGTCCACCCCTAAGGGTGGTTCGTCCGCGGCCCTTAAGGCGAACCAGGACGGGCACTGTGCGTTCTCTGCACTGGCGAAAAGGTCGACCACTGGACGGCCGAATCTCCGCCAGACCTCTGCAGCTATCCGCGGGGCCAAGGTCGTCCTGGAGTGGGCCCCCCCCCCGGACATCCTGTCAGCACCCACGTTCCGGGCACCCGGGACGTGGCGCGCCCTCAGGGACAGGAGATGAAGCGCCGCCCACAGCAGCGTCACCGTCGCCATGCGATGGAGAGCGGGGGATCCGGTGCCACCCTGTCTGTTCAGATAAGACACTGTAATGACAGTTTTTAGAGTAATTAAATTAGAACCAGTCGCAGCAAATACACGGACGACTGGGCCTTTAATCAATGCAGAGACGGCCATCTGACGCCATGCTGAGTTTGCAAAGGCCTCTGCTGTCTGCTCCTTTCACACCTAAGACAAAGGCCTTCCTGTGTCTTGCGCTAAAACAAAAGGTGATGTTTGCATGATAATCTCAGCCCATGTGACGTCACGGTTTTGGGGCCCTGCTGTGCGCCTCCTGAGTATATGTATTGGTACAATAGCTGTGCCCCGGCAGAGCTCACGATGCAAGACTGTATGTCGGCTCTCCGCATATATATGTGTAAAATAAATGTGTTTACATCTTTGATTTAAGACAAATACCTTTCCAGCTTTTTCCTTTATTGGGGTATGAAATTCCAACAACAGTTTGGCGTTGCTGGCATGTCTTGGCCTGGGTTTTTTTCGGCGGGGACGAGCGGGTGCGTTCGGCCGACCTGGAACAAAACCAGCCTCCGCTCTATTTGGAGACGAAAGGAGGGCGCGCTCGTCCGGCGCATGAAAAGAATCTTTGGCCACACAAGACCAAAAAGAACCTGATTTGTGGTGAGTTTTGTCTTTTCAAACATGTAAAGCCCAGGGCAGCGCTTAAGTGTACACGGGTATTTGATTTATTTACGTATTTTGGGGTATTTTGTTCATTGCCATTTGTGTTGGGTATGAGATTTAAGCTAGCGGCTGCGTGTTAGTATTGCTCTGTAAGCAACCCTGAACTCTTTGTGCCTTCAGCCGGGCCCGGTCCGTTTCAAGAATGCGCGCCCGTTAGGTGTATTGAACTAGGGGGGGAACGGATCGCTCCAGAGTGAGGAAGAGCAGGGAGAGACTAAGCGGGCTAGATCCATTTGTTCTTTAAGAGAAAATGGAGGGAAGTACACTAGAAAGGGATTCAGACGTCCCGTAACAATGGCAATGGAAAAACGGTTGCAAATTATGTGCTGCTCATTCGGATCTTCCGGAGGGAGGTTTTTTTTTTTTATGTCCTTCAATCGATTACGCGTCTTGCGTGAAAATTAGAAGAAGGAAGGGAAATATTACTTGGTTTTAAGAATATCACGGCAAAAGACGTTAGAGAAAGAAATATGTAAAAACAATAGCTCCTCCGCTTTTCACCGAAGCGGAGAACACACAGGCGAACGCGTAAGGCGATCAGCCCCGAGAAATATTCCCCAAACTCCCCTACTAACAATAAGTGCGCACCCAAACAAGGCGTTGGGTTTTTAAAAAATGAGCAGACTACTGTTGTCCCCTTTTTCCTCTCCCTGTCCAGGTCTGTCGGCGCTTTCCTCCGCGCCCTGCCCTCCGCCTCAAAGCCCCAGCACCAGCCCCACGCCCCAACCACGGCGGCGACTCACAGAGTCTCTCGCACCAGCTGATACCCCGCGAGAAGTGGGCCCAAACCCGGGAGCAGAAGAAGAAGCGGCGGAAGCAGATACACGCTCAGGAAACCGAAGCTCACGACTCACTCCGTGGACACATTATGTGAGACACCGACAACTGCTTTGTTGTTGGCCAGAGACATACTGCTCCAAATCCCGTGACTGTTGCCCCACGGAGGCGGCAGCGTGAAACACCAAACGCACCCGCTGAAACCCCGTTGAAAGTTGCCCCCGCACCGCAAACAGAAGAAGCCATTGGGACCGGCACGTTTGGTTATTAACCAACCCTCATGGACCACAGGCTAACGTTATTTGAACGCTTTGGGCTACCTGGGCCTCCTGCGGACTTTGAGAAACTTAAGCCATAGGTGCCAGAGCCAGGACTACGGTGCTGCGGAGCGCGCAGGAACATGTGTCACGGACTGGCGGCAGCTTTTCCACAGCCCGGCGGAAAGACTGTGTGCTCGACATGTGTCGAAGGACTGTTACCGGAGGAGGCGTTAAAGGCAGAGGACCTCTCAAGCTCACACGGGGCCAGAGGACGGCAGAGGCGGGCGTGGAGGAAACACGAGCGACTGATCAAACCCGGGTTCACATTCGTCACCAAAGCGACCGCTCATGTCACGTAAGTTTGAACAAGAACAAATTGCAATTGGCACTTTTTAGAGATAATTCATGCTGAATTCCCGTAATATACGCTAACAATCTGTGGTGTAAAAGTTAAAATTCTGGATGATTCAGGGACAACAAATCCTGTGTTAAAAACAAAACATAAGGTGACAGATTTTGGTCCTTTCTCAAATGAGTGGTCGCTTCACAAAACTCATGGCTTCAGTGTAGTGAAGATAGGCTAACGGAGTACGTTTATTGGGATAGGCACAACTCCGCGGTATTACCTAACGTGTTTATCGACCCACTGTGCTCCACTTTGCACACAGTTTTGTCCGAACCCACGTCTGCAGCGTGGAGGGAGGTCCCTGCATGTATTAATAAGTGTAGCAGTGCTGGAGGCTGGACACAGGTCCAAGATGGACACTCGTGGTTCTCCAGAAATGCAAACGCATGGAGAAGCCCTTTTTATTTTTTTTATGGTTCTCTGGCCGCAGGAAGAAATGTGTGTTCTGGCCCTGACAGCATCACTTCAGCCCCACGGGGGGCGGGGGTCATGCTGCCAGCGCCGTATGCAGCGACCACGCCGGGGCTGCACACGGTCCCACTGAAGGATTTTGAATAGGCCTGATAAAATTGGAGTGGCTTTTTGGATTTTTGCCACTTGTTTGGGTTGAATGAAACCGTACATTAAGGAGTTACATGCTGGTTTGAATCTTGTGTT